TTTCATTCTTCAAAGAAATAGAAAAATCCACCAAAAAATGCATATAGAATCACAAAAGACCCCAGAGAGTCCAAATGATCCTGAACAACAGTAACACCAAAATAATGCTGGAGGGATTGCAATTCCAGATCATAAGATATATTACAGTGGGACTGCTCTTCTAGAGGTTATGAGTTCAATTCCCAACAATCATGTGGTGGCTCACAACCATCTATAATGAGATCTGGTACAGTCTTCTGGTGTGCAGGAACACACATGCAGGGAGAATACTGTATATATAATAAATAAATAAAATCTTTCTTACAAAGATATATTACAGAACCATAGGAAAAAAAGCAATATGGTACTGGCACAGATATGTAAACCAATGGAAGATCCAAGCATGAGTACATGTAATTTCAGCATTTAATGCAAAAAACATAAGTTGAAGAAAAGAAAGCATCTTCAACAAATGGTGCTGAGAGAACTGAATGTCTACATACAGAATGAAATTAGACCAGCATCATACACAGAAACTAACTCCAATTGGATCAAAGACCTAAAAGTAAAACCTAACACACTGAAACTGTTAGAAGAAAATAGGCGATATCCTCCATGTTACATGCAGTAAGGGGTTTCCTGAGTAGGACTCCACTTACCTAAGAATTAAGGCCAACAACTGACAGGACTTTTATCCCAGTAGTCAGAATGGCAAAGATCAACAAAACAATCAATAAATGCTGAAGAGAATATGGGGAAAAGGGAAGCCCCATCTACTGTTGGGATGGCAAACTGGTGTAGCCACTATGGAAATCAGCATGGAGAGCTCTCAAAAATAATCCTAAAATAAATCTACCATATGATCCAGTTACACCACTCCTTGGCATATGCTCAAAGGACTCTACATCCTACTCTACTGATACTTGCTCAGGCATGTTCACTGCTGCTCTATTCACAATAGCTAGTATATGGATACAACTTAAATGCCCTCAGACAATGAGTGCATAGTGAAAACATGGTACACTATGGGAACACTATTCAGCTGTAAATAAAATGAAATCATTACGTTAGTAGGTTAAATGGATGGAAAGATCAAGCTGAGTAAGGTAACCCAGACCCAGAAAGACAAATTTTGCATGTTCTCACTTATTGGAGGCTCCTAGTTCTAAATCTTCAGATATTAGTACAGTCCTCATTCATTGGTGGAACTTCTCTTTGCAACAGTTGGAGACCATTACAGAAAACTACAATGGAAATGCAGTGTTGTGGAATACAGTCCCAGTGGATATGTATACATTTACAAGACAACTTCCACATCTATGGCTTAGTGAACATTGTTCTCTGAGAGAGAAGGGAGTGAAAAGATTGTAAGTTGGAGGATCAAGGAGTTTGCTGTGGGACTGTGTCTCCTAATAATGTCAGAAGCCACACCCTGAGATTCTCATCAACATGACTGTGTGTTGAACAAGGACAATAGATATGCCAAAGTGAACAAGGGAAAGACCATATGGCCGCATCCCTACACAAAGAACTACAGGCAACTAAGGAATGCTGAGTGTGGGAGAAACAAGTCTTCCCCAAGGAAGAGCACACCAATTGGTTATTCAGCGCCAAGTGGTCAGTGCTGAAAACATGCACAGATGAGTTAGCATTATACAAACTGAGTGGGTAACATAGTTAGGAATATATGTATATATATGTACATATATATATATGCATGTAACAATTAATGAACAATAGGCCATGAATTTGAAAACAAGCAAGGAGGGGTACACGGATTTGGAGAAACAGGAAGGGGGAAAATGATATGATTATATTACAATCTTAAAAATAAAACTGGTAACAAAGATACATTGTATATATACATCTATAAAATTGTCAAAGAATAAATACAGTATTAAAAAAAGAGACCAGAGACCACATCAAGCTGCCAGAAGTCTGGATTGGTGCCTAGCTCAATCATCATCAGAGAGGCTTCCACAGACAGCTAATGGGGGCATTAGGTGAAGAGAAAGCCAAAATTGGAGATCTCAATCAAGTCTCTCCCCTTGGAGTCTGGGGAACCTCGTGGAAGGAGGGGAGGAAGAATTGCAGGAGCCAGTGGGGTGGCAGACACCAGAACATGGCCCACAGACATCAACTAAGTAGGGCTTATAGGGGCTCACAGAGACTTGAAGCAGCAGTCACGGAGCCTGAATGGGTCTGCACTAGATTCTCTGCATAGATGTTGATTTGTCAGCCTTATGTTTTTGTGAGAATAGGAGTATCTCTGACTCTTTGGCCTGCTCTTAGGACATTTTCCTCCTACTGAGTTGCCTGGCCAAGCCTTGATATGAGGGTTTTGTGCCTAGTCTTACTATTGTATCTTGTTAAGCCATTTTCAGTGACTATACCTGGGAGGCCTGCTCTTTTCTGAAGGGATCAGAGGAGTAGATCTGGGGGTTGGGTGAGGTGGGAGGAGTTGAGAGAAAACTGGTTAGAATATTTTGAAAACAATAAATAAAATAAAAAATAATATAATAATTTTAAAAAGTTAGCTTTTAAAATTATAACTAAGAGTTTGGGGCTGGTCAGATGGCTTAGCCATTAAAAGCACTAGATCCACAGCTAAGCACTGAGTCAAACTCCTGGAACCCAGTTGTAGAGAGGGAGCAAAGGGGTCAAGACCAAGCCCACAGAAACAGCTGACCTGAACAAGGGGGAGCTCATGGTCCCCAGACTGACAGCTCAGAAACCAGCATAGGACCAAACCAAACCAAGCCCCCTGAACATAGGTGTCAGTTAGGAGGCCTGGGCAGTCCATGGGTCCTCTGGCAGTGGAACCAGTATTTATCCCTAGTGCACAAATGGACTTTGGGAGCCCATTCCCCCATGGAGGAATACTGTCTCAGCATGGGGGAGGGCCTAGGTCCTGCCCCAAATGATGACAGACTTTGATGATCCCAGATGGAAGACTTTACCCTACCTGGGGAGTGGGTGGGTGGGGGTCAGAGGGGACATGGGAGGGTGGGAGGGAGAGGGAACTGGGATTGATACTTACAATAAGATTGTTTCTAATTTAAATTAACATATTATACATATATAAAGCACTTGCTGTTCTTGCAGAGGATTGGGATCTGGTTGCCTTGACTCACACTGGGCAACTCACAACTGCATGTAACTGTAGCTTGAGGAAATCTGATGCACTCTTTGGACTATTGTGGGTACCTTCGTGCAAGTGCACAAGTGCACACATATACAGGTACACACACACATAAATCAAAAGAAATTAAAAAATATAACTAGAAGTGGGTATAAGGACCATGGAAAGGAGTATACAAAATAGAGAATTCTCTTTTCCACATACTTTTTTTTCTTTTTTTTCCTTTTTGCCGGGAGGGTGTGTGTGTGTCTTTTTTTTTTTTCTCGAGACAGGGTTTCTCTGTGGCTTTGGAGGCTGTCCTGGAACTAGCTCTTGTAGACCAGGCTGGCCTCGAACTCACAGAGATCCACCTGCCTCTGCCTCCCAAGTGCTGGGATTAAAGGCATGCGCCACCAACGCCCGGCCTGTGTGTGTGTCTTTTAAGACAAGGAGAATTACGTAGTCTAGTCTGGCCTTAAATTTGTGAGTCTCCTTCCTTAGTTTCCCAAGTTCTGGGTTACTATTTTGTGTCACTATACCCAATTAAACATGTTCTTTGGGATTTTTTGTTTTGTTTTGTGAATCAAAATTCTTAAAACAGGAAGTCAGATGAAAATAACATGTACCAATCTGAATTCTATATGTCTTCAGAGGTAAAATGTGGGTTTAGTAAATATATGTTTACAAAACACATTATCAACTGTTTGTCTAGCAAATACAAATATACACTGTTCATAACTCAGTAGCTTCTGGGATACAGCCTACCTTAAATGTCTGGAAAATTTACATCATGTAATCCCTCTCCAATCTAGTACGCACAGGTTCCTGAATGCCACCCCTAAGTCTCTGCTTCAGGCGTCTGGGTTGCTTCTGAGAATGTCCCCTCTTCTAATGCTTTCCCCAGTGATCCTGCTGGTGTGAGACACCATGAAAACCACCGCTTCACAGCAAAGGCAGCTATGTTTTATTAAGCGTCCAATAATTAAAGCATTTTATACAAATATCGACTAGTTACAGGCGCTCAGCAAATCAGCATGATTACCCATTGTGTAAGGTGGGAAAACAACCGAGCCCCAAGGCTCTAAGAAACTCAGCAGAGGGCAAGAGATTGGGCAACTGTTCTCTGCATTCCAGCACCCATGCGTCCCTTGCTCCACGAACATGCCATACTACTTGTTGTGATGCACACGGACTCTGTTTATCTGAGAAAAAGAATATATCCAGAGATGTGGTTAGTTCAGAGTGTTGACTAAAGGACAGGGACTCACTGAAGATCAAAGGCTCAGAGTCATCAGGACTCATTCACCTCAAAACTTCTATAATTATTACCATGTAATTAACAAAGCAGAAAAAATGTGTTAAATATAATACTGCATAATCCTTAACAAGTATTTATTATTCCTTACAGCAAACATACAATTAGATTTTTTGGTAGGATCTCCCTACATAGCCCTGGTTGTCCTGGTACTCATATTCACTATACAGACCAGGCTAGCCTCAAAATTACAGTTATCTGTCTGCTGTCTCCCAAGGGCTGTGTGCTGCCACACTTTAGATTGAAAGCATCACAACTCTTTAAATGTCTGTCAGTGTCCTATGCACAATCAACCATTAGCTTGATGGTCTTCAACAAGACGGTCTGATAACTAGAGTCTCACCTTTCAAACAGCAACAGACAGCAGTGACACCACACAGCAAAAGAAGCGGTTTCAGTTTTAAGAAAAGTTGTCCATGAACAGAGGAAATATGTTAGCAAAACTAAACTGCCAGGTATATAAGGTCCTGCCAGCTCAGTTTATCAAAAAGGACAAGAAACACAAAATTATTGGCTTACAGATGTGATGACTCGAGTTCAGAATGACAAATAAATAAATAAATAAATCACTCAATTACACATCACTGTCAAACAAATACTTTATATAAGGAAAATTCCCTTTAAATATTTATATACATGTTACCATGTAATACTGTTAATCAAACCCATGGTTTATTTGTTTAAATAAGATTAAATAAGTGGTCCCAAATGCTGATGTTTTTCTATCACAATGACTAGATAGTTTAAAGCAAACTTCAGTATGGTATAATGAATACATGGGTTCCTTAGATAACAATAAGAAGAGCAATTTTCAGAGTATGTTCTCATCTCTAGGTCAGGGAGAGCTTTATTAAGTGGCAAACACTTTGTAATGATGCAGAGTGCAAGTTTGGAAAACAAACACACTCAGAAGATCTGCTGCTCAAATAATATTTTTTCAAAACCAGGTGGAGGAGTATGATAAAATTCACTGAACTGGCAATCCAAAATTGCACTGTCGTCAACTAGAAGGGAGAAAAAGAAATTAAATTAGAAGGACATTCAAATACACACATAATTAAAAAGCATACTGTTTTCAGGCAAGGATGTAACTCAGTGATAGAGCACCTGCTTAGCAACATTGCTGAGATCTAGCACCACAAAACAGTTTAATTATAAACCATTTTTCTAATGTCATAATATTTTTTCTTTCTTTTGTAAAAAATATTTTCTATTAATTCTGCAAGAATTTAATCAATGTGTTTTGATCTTATTTAAACCCCTCCAGCTCTTCCCAGGTCCAACAACCCTTCTCTACTTGCTTAACTTTGCATCCTTGTTCTTTCTGTTGCTTTTAAAAACGTTAACTTAGTTTTAGTCAAAGACTCACGTATGTATGTGGTGTCTTTAGAAATAAGGTCTTGCTGTCACGTTGTGGAAGGTAACCAAAAGCATTTGCAACAGCCTGCATTGTTTGGAGAGCTATGGAACTTTACTGTCTAACAACTTCAAAAGAGGTAACCCATTTTTGGCATGAGGCTTTTTGTTTTTTAGCCTATGATGTCTACTAGGGGTATAATCATATATTATAAATAGACACCAATTGTCTTATCTCCCTCTTACCTTCACTGAAAAGCAAGAAGAAACACCCAAATAATACATAGACTCTTCCCTGCAGACCTAGTAAAATAAGCCCACACTAATAAATCCTAAGGCAAACTACTATTTGTTACATAGAAGGACATAAAATGAGCTATTCTTTTAAAACAGGATCTCATTGTGCAGCTTTGGCTGGCCTGGAATCCTTGATGATTATGTCATAATATTTTAATTAAAAATTTTTTATGTGCATGGCCATTGGCTTACATGTATGTCTGTGTACCACTGTGCATGCCTGGTGCCTATGGAGGCCAGAAGAGGGCACTGGATCCCCTGGAACTGGAGTTACAGATGGTTGTGAGCTGCCATGTAGGTGCTGGGAACTGAACCAGGTCCTAGCATGAGCAGCAGTTAGTGCTCTTAAACCCTTAATATCATATTAATTGTCAATAAGAGTAAAAACACCTGCCATCTGGGTTATAAAGTCTTCAAAAATTTTTTTTCCAGTGTGTGTGTTCATGTGTGCATGGCATGGTACACACTCAAGAGGTTAGGGGAAACTTGCTGGAATCAGGCTCTCTCCTTGTATCAAGCGGGTCCTGAGGCTCTAACATCACTGTCAGGGTTGGCAGCGAATGCTTTCATCCACTGAACCATCTAGCTGGCCTTGGGTTGTAAAATCTTTAGGTAAAGACACCCACAACAAAATCTGCCAAAAACATATGAAGGAGGTTATCAAAACATTATTAATAATGATCCCAGCCATACACAGTGGTATATGTCTGCAGTCTCAACTATGTGGAAGGCTGAGGCAGGAGGATCTCCTGAGCTCAGGAGGTTGAGGCCATCTGAGGCAATGTGATACGGACTTCATCTCTCCTCTCCTCTCCTCTCCTCTCCTCTCCTCTCTTCTCCCTGCCCCCCTGCACCCCCTCAGGGTTTCTCTGTGTAACAGCCCTGGCTGTTCTGTCCGGGAACTCACTATGTAGACCAGGCTGTGAAAAGACAATATGCAAATTCTGAAGAACTCCATTATCCACACATGGAAAGGGCTCATGAGTCCCCCATCTTTCCCTGAATGCTGAGGAAGGGGAGGTCATTCTTCAGTGGTGTTCCACTGGCAAGTTCTAACTTATCCCAGTAACTAATCCACATCCCATGCTCATGTGAACACTCTGACAAAACTCAATGGGTCACAAAACAGCAACAGAACAAAAGACACGAAAGTAAGAAGTAGAACTGTTGGGAAAAGGGGCTCAGTGGGAAGGGATTACAGAGGGTAATGGGAGTAAAAATGACCAAATGTACTATACATGCACATGAAATCATCAATTAACATAAAAAAGAAGAAAAGCATATACACATTTTGCACACAGATACAGAAGGTAAACAAAAGCCACCAGTTTTGATTATCATTAAGTATTTATCCCCATGACTGCACCGCTTCTCACACACTAGCCTGCCATTATTATAAAGGGTTAGTAATAGCTTTTATTATAACCCAAATCTATGAATTTACATAACTAAGGCAGTATTTCAGACAGTAAACCACAGGCAGAAAAGTCATATATTTATTGATCTGAAGTTGTCAAGATAAGTAGTAAAAGCAGAATAGAATGATAAAGGCATTAGTCATGTTTTTTTTCAAAGAGACAAGGTCTTTCTCTGTGTCTCTGGCTGGTCTGAACTCAGAGACAGAGTAATCTGCCTCTGCCTCCCAAGTGCTGGGATTAAAGGCCTGTGCCACCATGCCTGCCTGAAGACCTTAGATTTTAGAGATAAGTATAAAATGTTTAATAACAAAATAATGTGTCTGACATATGCCTCAAAATAACCCACATAAGGAAAGAAACGCTGGGTGACCAAGTACCTAGGCTCATTATAATATTCTCTTTTCCTCTGTGAAAGTTTGAAAATTTCCATAATAAAAAAATTAAAGGAATTACAAGAATCATTTACACTGCCTGAGTCTTACGAGAGTCACAGAGAATGCGAATCTCTATGCATTTGAGGCCAGCCTGATCTACACAGTGAGTTCCAGGTTAGCCTTCAAAGCTACATGGGGAAACTGTTTTGAAAAACCAAAAAACCAAAAAACCAAAAAACAAAAAACAAAAAACCAAAAAACCAAAAAAACCAAAAAAAAAAAAAAACCAAAAAGAAAAAGTCAACTTATACAGAAATGATAGTTCTTATACATACCCAGTTATCAAAAGCAAAGGCGTTAATCTGAAACTATTCTAAGTTAAAATTTCTCTCAGAAGAATGATTATGTTTAGGTAATTTTATGAAGACAATGAATGCTCAATTCACATAAAATTCCCTAGTTCCAAAATATTTGTTATAATTTCATTTCCTTGTCATCTAATCTTCACTAGTAATTAGTAGAAAAAGCTTTGTAAATTCAGAGAAGTTTGATCTTTCTAGAACATAAAACTACACCATAACGGCTGGAGAGATGGCTTGGTGGTTAAGAGCACTAGCTGTTCTACCAAAGAACCTGGGTTCATTCAGTTCCCAGCACCAACTGGCAGTTCACAGCCATCTGTAACTCCAAGTCTTCTGACATCCTCTAGCACCGGGCACACAGGTGGTGCACAGACACTCAGGCAAAACACAGGTCACATAAAATTATAAACAAACAAACAAATGATATGATAAGAGTACATGGTCATGGATAGTTAACAACAACCATTATATTTAACCAACTTTGTTAATATGTAGGGAATAAAGCTGGGTGGTGGTAACACACACCTTTAACCCCGCATTTGGGAGACAAAAGCAGGCAGATCCCTGTGAATTTGAGGCCAGCCTCGTTTACAAAGTGAGTTCCAGCACGGGTTGTTACACAGAGAAATCCTGTGTGTACACGTACATGCGTGTACACACACACACACACACACACACACACACACACACTAATTATCTTTAATACTGCAGAGATAATGCAATGGTCTGAGTACATTCCATATGAAATGTCCTTATTAGCAACTTCTGAATGATAACTACATAATTAACATAAATACCAAATAACAATTAATATGTATCTATTGACAGATGAGTAACATATTAGCTTACCATATACAACTGGATACACTGTCCCTCGTATACCTGATGCTGGACAATGCATGTTTTTTCCATTCAAATACACATTTAATTCTACATGGTCATATGTGATACCCTAGGAAGGAAAGAAAAATTTTAAAGGATAAAAATAAGCCGGACGGTGGTGGCGCACGCCTTTAATCCCAGCACTCGGGAGGCAGAGGCAGGCGGATCTCTGTGAGTTCGAGGCCGGGCTGGACCGATAGCCTCCAAAACAATACAGAGAAACCCTGTCTCGTAAAAACAAAAACAAACAAACAAACAAAAAAAAAAATAGAAGCGCTGCATAAAACCCTGAATAAGCCAAAGCACTAACGGAGAAGTGAGCAAACAGAAACTAAGTGTGGGATCACAGCAGCTTTATCAGGGCTGACAATCTGGCAGACCACTTTAACTAAAACATTACTAGTGATTATTGGGGAGGGGGACTTAGAATGTAAAATATCAATTAGAGGCAAAACAAAGAGTTTAAATTATAGTATTATATTTGGATAACCTGGATTTTATTATTTAAATAGTAAAAGTAGCCCATATGTCATGAAGACTATAAAGAACTTATAAACCCTGGTCTTTCTCTAGAATGTTATCTAATGGAAAAAACACTGTTCTCCATTAGGGACTACCTGTCACTCTTTTCAAGCTATGAAGAGATGAGATGATACTTGTTTTTTTTTTTTTTAACTTTAGTCATTTTTTTTGGGGGGGGTGTTCGAGACAGGGTTTCTCTGTGGCTTTGGAGGCTGCCCTGGAACTAGCTCTTGTAGATCAGGCTGGTCTCGAACTCAGAGATCCACCTGCCTCTGACTCCCGAGTGCTGGAATTAAAGGTGTGTACCACCACTGCCCAGCTTAACATTAATCATTTTTTAAACTTAGAGATATTATTATTTTTTTATCTGGTTGTGGATGCTCACACATGCAGGTAGGTATCCAAGGAAGCCAGAAAAGGGTATTGAATCCCTTGGGGCTGTAGTTGTAAGCCACCCAACATGGGTACTAGGAAATGAACTCAGGTCTCTAGAAGAACAAGTGCTCTTACTCACAAAGCCATCCCCAGACAAGTTGTTTCTAAGAAATCATACATTTCTCTCTTTTTACTCTGGTCTCATGGTAAAATCAATCTGTACAATTCAATATGAATGAGGCTGAGTATCCAGTTAAAAAGAATAGGTTAAAAGTAAGAAAAAAAAAACAGAATAAAATGCATTGCTGTATACACAAATAACAGCTAAAAAGTGACATTAATCCTATTGTTAAGGTGCTGGAGGTCACTTGAGGCAGCCTGCACTGTGAAGCATTACTGTAGGTATTTCATACTTAGTCATGCTTACAAGACAATTATATCCACTTAACAGATGAAGCAGTTGAAGGGGTAACTTATTTAAGGTTGCACAGCTAGAAAGTGGCAGAACTGAAACTTAACCCATAAGGTTATCTTCAGAACACTATTACTCATTACACCATACACTACTTTTCTTTAAAACTTTGTACAGGCCGGGCGTTGGTGGTGCACACCTTTAATCCCAGCACTCGGGAGGCAGAGGCAGGTAGATCTCTGTGAGTTCGAGGCCATCCTGGTCTATAAAGTGAGTTCCAGGAAAGCCTCCAAAACAATACAGAGAAACCCTGCCTCGAAAAACCAAAAAAAAAAAAAAAAAAAAAAAAAAAACAAAACCAAAAACTTTGTACCATACATGTTGGAATCCCTAGTCAGAAATATGAAATGCTCCAAAACGTGAGACCTTCTGAGCCCCGAGGCTACACTATTATGCCACACATGGAAAATTCAGAAACTGATCCCATATGATGGATCAGAGTCAAAATAAAGGCACACTAATATATATATATATATTGTGCAAATTAGGACAGCAAAGTGGAAAACATACTTGCCACAAAACCTGCATCTGACCCTGGACCCAAATGGTAGGAGAGAACTCTTACAAATTGTCTTCTGATGGCCACCAGTTCTACATGTGATGTGCCTTGAACTCACAAAGATCCGCCTGCCTCTGCCTCCCAAGTGCTGGGATTAAAGGCATGTGCCACCAATGCCCGGCTACAAGTGGCATTCTTAGATCTGTTAATTTGTGATATCAGTCATCTTAATGAATGAAATGGGACAGGAAGACAAAATATACACCAGTTCAGTATTACAATGAAGAAAACATCTGTTTCAATTTCATCTTTTATTATAACTAGATTGACAGCCTCAACTTGACAGCAAAATTCTCTTTTAAGAAATAATCAGGCCAGGCATTGGTGGCACATGCCTTTAATCCCAGCACTCAGGAGGCAGGCGGATCTCTGTGAGTTCCAGGACAGCCTGGTCTACAGAGCTAGTTCCAGGACAGCCTCCAAAAAAACAATACAGAGAAACCCTGTCTCGAAAAATCAAAAAAAAAAAAAAAAAAAAAAAAAAAGAAAGAAAGAAAAAAAAGAAATGCACAATTTAAAATAGTTTATGCTTTTTGTCTCCTTTTCTTTAGCAGGCAACTTATTTCTCTTTTGAGGCAGGATTTTGTTATATAAGTCAGGTTGTCCTGAAACTTGCTGAAACTACAGCACCAACAACAACAAAACCGGAAACAAAAAAGCTTCTATAAGCAAGTTTTGAGATTGTTTTCTTGGATGAGGTCTTACTATGTACTGCTTGACCTGGAACTCACTATGTGAGTAGGCTGTCCTTAAACTCATAGAGACGCCCACCCCTGCCTCTTTGCCTCTGCTTGAGTGCTGGGATTAAAGAAGTGTGTCACCATGTTCTGTTTTAAACCTTGGGATTTTTGAGTTCAGTTTTTTGAAAGGTTCTAAAAGTAGAGACATTTAGTAAGACGAACTTAAACAAGGATCAGTACTTACAGTAAAATGCTGTAAACATTTATTGGGGTGGCTTACACTTTCAGAGTTTTAGTCCATTATCATTATAGTGCAACATGGTGGTGTATAGGCAGGCATGGTGCTGAAGACTCTCAGAGTCCTGCATCTTGACTCAAAGGCAACAGGAAGTGGTCTGAGACACTGGGTGTGGCTTGAGCATATATGAGACCTCGAATCCTGCCTCCATAGTGACATACTTCCTCCAACAAGACCATACCTACTCCAACAAAGCCACACATCCTAAACGTGTCACCCCCAATGAATTTGTGGGGGTAATAACATTCAAACTATCACAGTTCCTAATATTAATAAAAGTGAAATATTTTGAGAGATCTCTGGCTTCAAAAATACCTAATATCCTATAAGATGATCAGAAAAACTTTTAAAATTATGTATCAAGATTTGCCTGTGACTGGGTGTTGGTGGCACATGCCTTTAATCCCAGCACTCAGGAGGCTGAGGCAGGCGGATCTCTGTGAGTTCCAAGCCAGCCTGGTCTACAGAGCGATTTCCAGGACAGCCTCCAAAACAATACAGAGAAACCCTGTCTTGAAAAACTAAAAAAAAAATAAAAAAATAAAAAAGATTTGCCTGTGACAGTAGGATATTGCTTAGAAGCCAATCTGTAAATGATCGTGCTACCTGGAGATATAGGGTCAGTCACCCTCATGTCCTGGTCTGCCAGCAATTCCAGAAAGGACAGGGCAGTGAAGTGGGGTAGCAGTATCTGACAAGTGTTCTCAATGGAAACAGTACTACCTTACTAGACAATCCCAGGACTTTGGATATTTGAAATAAAAATTACAACCCGGCATGTAAAACCATGTCTAGTCAAAACAGCTCAAGTTTAATAATTGACAGTGGACAGGAGCTCTACCAGGACACTCACCACTACATCTCCTTCCTGAGGAAGGTTGTTTGCTGGCAGCCTGTTTTTTTCTTCGTTGTTGTGGTATAGGGCTCCATCATTTCTCATCACCAGACTGTGCATGTCTCGGCCAAGAGGAATCTGGTTCAAGTTAACTTTCTGAGTTGCAACACCTATACCCCAGATTCCTAAAAATACAAGTTTAAATATACCATAAATCTGAATTATAAGAATTATTTTAATTATTTTTCCTCCCCACCCCCTTCCAGTCAGTTCTCACTTTGTAGCTCTGTTGGCTTGGATTTAGAACTTACTACCAGGTTGGCCTCAAATTCAGAGAACTACCTGCCTTGGCTCCCTGAATGCTGTGATGAAAGATATATCCTTAATCCTTAATTAAAGGTATATCCTTGTTTTTGTTCTGTAAAACAAACTTTTTAGACAGCAGATTACAAGGCTAGTGGCTCAGCAGATAAGGTGACAAGCTTTGATCCTTAGAACCCAAGTGAAAGTGGAAGGACAGACCCACAGATTCTGTAAAAGCTGAGCTGACTTTCACATGCCCCACCAGAGTCATATACACACACAATAATAACGTTTCTCTGAAGTAAGCTGCAATGCATACTATGTTCTCTATAGGTAAACTAGGAGGTTAAGAGTTGTATTACTGAGATTTAAGCAATCACAGCTATGTTATCTTGGTCCAAGTAACTTAACTTCCCTATTTCCTCATCTGTTGAGTCTAATAGTACTTACAAGGTGTGGTGGTTTAAATGAGAAGGGCCCCCATAGGCTCATATATTTGAATGCTTGGTCTGCAGTTGGTAGACTGTTTAGGCAGGATTAGGAGGTGTGACCTTGTTGGAGGAGGTGTGTCACTGGGGGCAGGCTTTGAGGTTTCAAAAGCCCACACCAGTCTCTCTGTCTTTGCCTCCTGCCTGTGGATAAGATGTAAGCTCTCAGTACTGCTCCAGCACCATGCCTGCCTGCCTGCCACCATGCTCCACTCCACGATGATCACCCTCCAAAACTGTAAGCAAGTCCCCAGTTAAATACCTACTTTTATAAGTTGCCTTGGTCATAGTCTCTTCACAGCAATAGAACAGTAGCTAAGACACAAGGTAAGGAAAAGATACAGGACTACCCAAACACAGCACTTAGGATAGGTCAAGAAGCTTTTTGAGCAAGTAAAGCACACACTGAGTATTTAAAAAATGCTAGCTATTGCCATTTCTATTTTCTCTTAAGTTTTTTTTTTTAAAGCACTGTAGGGCTAAGGGTAGGAGTACAGATTTGTGGTAGTCTTTGCCTTGGGCCTAATTCTCATCAAAACATACTTTGTCTGTCTGTATGTCTCTCTCTGTCTCTCTCTCTCTGCTCTGCTCTGCTTCTGAGAAATGTGAGATTACTGTCTTTAGTTATATTTATAATGAGTAACAAATATATATGCTATGAATAATAGCAGGAATATTAATACTGGGGATCTAAATCCAGCACTTCATACATGCTAGGTAAGTGCTCTACCACCAGCCTGTATCTTCAGAAGCAGGCATTCTCTTCTCTGGCCAAACAAAATACCTACTGTCCTGGACGTGTTCTCAAGCTGCTACCTTTCAGTTTTCATTAAAATCAAAAGAAATGCTACACATGGAAGGGGGTTTGAATTCTATGCTGTCAATACTCTTTCTGAATTGGTTGAATCCATCAGAAAGTTGCACACATGTCTGGATTTGACTATCTTGACATCAGAAATACTTTGACCTATGTATAGTTCATCTCCCCTAAGAGACAACTATGACAATGACGACAGCAGGTGACAATAATAATCTCATAACATTTGCAGATAGGGTTCTGCAGTCTTCTTACTCCGAAAGAATTGTGTACAGGATTACTAACACTCCAATAACCAACCCATCTGTGCAAGGGATGGCATCATGGAGTATCCCTGACAGAAAAGTCCACATCTAATTTTTTTATTAAGTTTAAGGGTCAAACATTATTTCTCCTTTTTAGAAGAAAATATAGGCTAGAGAGATGGCTCAGCAGTTAAGAGCACTGGCTGTTCTCCAGAGATCCTGAGTTCAATTCCCAGCAATCACAGGGTGGCCCACATCATCTATAGTGGAATCTGATGCTCTCTTCTGTCATAAAGGCATGCATGCAGACAGAGCACTGGCATGCAAAAATAAATAAATAAATCTTTTTAAAAACAGAAGAAGAATATATATTTGAGAAGACAACAGTAATTAGGATAGTTCACAGCCAGTGAGGTAACTTATAATAGCACAGTGGACAGACTTGGATTTACGCTTCACAAAAACAAAAAACAGTATTAAACCACTTTAAGAAACCAGCTTCAGAAGTACCATACTGTCCAGGGAACAAGATTCACTTATTTCATTACAGTCTTCTTACTCTATACTTATGTCACTCAAGATTTCAGTGTTTACTGAAAACAGAACACCAATTTCCCCATATGTAATACTACTACAAGTTATGATCCTTCAAGAAACGCCATAAAATTGCAAAAGAAAAGTCTATGGCTTAGATGTGAAGTGTCCCTCCCAAAGGCCCATGGAAATCCCTACTGGTGGATTCAATCACAGAGAGGTGACTGCATCTGGAGGGTTCTACTTTCTTCAAGGGGTTAACCCTTTGGTGTACTCATAGTATGATGGGAGTATTAGAAGTGGGACTTGTTTGGGAGGAAGGAGGCTATTGAGAGGAAGCCTTCGTAGAGCCTATCTTGTCCCCAGCCTCTTCCATGTCATTACTGTTTCCTGACTCATGAGGTGGGTAACTTTGCAACACCATGATCTTCCCCCATGGTTTTCTGCCTCACTATGGCTGGGAAACAACAGAGCCGGTGACCACGAACCTTAGAAATGAGAACCAAAATAAATTCTTCCTCTTTAACCTGCTTTCTGGGGTGGGGTGTTGCAAAGCTACAGTTTAGCAAACTGACTAATTTAACCTGGATCACAAGAGGGAAGACTTGGGCCCTGTATATAAGAGTTTGGGACTTTTCCTTAATCATCTTCTGAATTTTTTCCTAATCAAAATTATCTTTGGTGATAGTTAAGTACGACTATAAATTATACTAACCAGTAGACTGGATTTTGAACTCAAAGTAGCTTTTGTTCTGATGTAAAGGTGCACTGGCTAAACAGCCTCCAGTGCCACAGATTCTTCTTCCGTTCTTCACAATGACAACATCTGTTCCTAAACAAAACACACAGACATCACAGCACGGTTAATTTGTGTATGTGGAAAAGAGGGGCCAGCAGTGGTGAGAGGGAGGTGTGTGCACGGTGTGGTTATTAAAGGTCAGTATCAAGAGTCTTCCTCCATAGATACCCACCTTATTTTTTGAGATGGAACCTGGAGGTCACTGATTGGTCAGACTGGCTGGTCAGTGAGCCCCTTAGTTTTCAATTACAGACATGTACTGTCATGCTCAGTTTGTTGTGTGGGTGCTGAGGAGTCCAAACACCCAGTACTTTACCCATGAAGCCCCAGGCTCTGTTCAATAATTCAGTCAACAACAGCAAAAAAACAGGAATACTGTAAGTCTTTTCAAATGTGGGTAATATTGATAGATTGTTTTAAATACTTAATTTTCTACTTTTTAAGATACTAATTATATATAATATTCACTTGTATCAAAAAGTCTTTGTGGTGATATTTTGTTTATGATACAATAAAGCTTGCCTGAAGATCAGAATGCAAAGCTAATCACACTAGTTAGCCATAGAGGCCAGGCAGTGGTGGCCCACACCTTTTATCTCAGCAGCTATACAAGTTAGCCATACAAGAGGCCAGGCAGTGGCGGTATACACCTTTAATCCCAGCACTTGGGAGACAGAGGCAGATGGATCTGTGTGAGTTCAAGGACACCCTGGGCTACATGAGAGTAAGTCAGTCTAAAAGAGAAACAGAGCTCACACCTTTGATTCCAGCACTTGGGATGATGCGCCTCTAATCCCAGCACTAAGGAGGTAGAGACAGGAGTGACATGGCTGGGCTGGGGAGGAGACAGGAACTCACTGCAGTCTATGTAGTCTGAGGAGCAGTGCAGTAGAGAGGACACGATTACCCCTTCCATCTGAGCATCGACAGAGGTAAAAACTCTCTAGTGGCTGGCTGCTTTGCTTTTCTGGTGTTCAGCTTTAACCCCCAATATCTCTCTCTGGGTTTTTATTATTCATACTACAAGTCTTTTTCAATTAAGTTGTTTCAAATAAACCAAATTATGTTGAATATTTAAATTATTTGTAAGGGGGTCAATGAGATGGCTTACATGGCAAAGGCACTTTCCACCAAGCTCGATGACCACCTGAGTCTGACCTCAGGAACCCACAAAGTGAACTGACTCCCAGAAGTTCTCCTTGGACTTGACACATAAGTCATGGCATGTGTGTGCCCCATAAATGCACACAAAATAAATAAAATGTAAAACATTTATAAGGTAAAGGGAAGCTAACTCATTTTTTAAATCAATAAACAGATTAGATAAATTAACAATTTTCACTTAAGTCAAGCCTTAAACACTTAAGAAACTTAGTATATTGGTACAATTCCAATTCTAATCAAATGGATTAAGACAATCTATTAAAGACAGCCAAGGGTCTACTATGTAGAAGCCATTATCACCAGTCTAATACTACTGCTCACACTGGAGTGGTCAGGTAAGAGCAAAGGAGTGAGTTCATCTATGCCGGGAAGGGACAGGTTGGCTGAAATGGCTGACACTGAAAAGTACTTAGCTTTACGATCGTAACATGTTCACTAAGAGAGCTTCTGTTAGGCACATGGCAAAAACATAAGCACATGTTTTCTTTGTTTTGAGACAGAGTCTCTCTGTATTGACAGTACTAGCCTCATCTCCTATATGGGAATACAGATATGTGCCACAATGCCCCACTCTAAATAAGATCTTAACATCATTAAACACACTTGATTTTCATAAAAAAATTTAGTTTCATCTCTAACAACTTCATAGATGACAGTAAGAAAAATACTGCTTTTGAAATGAGAACCTATTAGCACCTGTTTCTGAATTTTGGCTTAGGAAAGCAAGTCCATCAGAGATCATGAAGAGCCAGCTCAATTCCTATATGTAAGAAAATTTTAACATTATTAGTACGCATGACTCCCAAAGTCTATGGCCATTATTACCTCCTCACCTGTAATAAAATCATAAGGTAAGCAGACACAAATATTAGGACTAGGTGGCAGTCCTCCAGAATGGTCTAATAAAACTAGACAATAGTAATAAAAGAGTCAGTCCCTACTTAAACAAAACAATCACTCTAAAATGATCGTCTTAAGATCATACAATGCTAACATTAAGTACATTTTTGTTTGTTTATTTAAAGATTTTAAGGGCTGACACATGTCACAAAGCCTGAGGAGACCTGAGTTCGACCCCTGGAACATGCAAGGTAGGAGAAAGCTAACTCCTTTAAGTAGTCCTCTGACAAGCCGGGCGTTGGAACACACCTTTAATCCCAGCACTCGGGAGGCAGAGGCAGGCGGATCTCTGTAAATTCCAGACCAGCCTGGACTACCAAGGGAGTTCCAGGACAGCCTCCAAAGCCACAGAGAAACCCTGTCTCGAAACAAACAAACAAACAAAAAATGTCCTCTGACCTCCATTCTCAAGTGAGTGTGTATGTATGCGGGCGCGGGCGTGTGCATACACACACACACACACACACACACACAGAGTTTTATAAAATGTTAAAACCCAATTTCTGAGCTGGAGAGATGACTCAGCAGTTTCAGACACTTGCCACCAAGTCTAACAACCTTCCATGTGTGGGAAGGAGAATATAGTTCCACATCACAAGTCATGTAAAAGGAAGACAGGCAGGTCCTTCAGGCAGGAACCTGGAAGCAGGAACTGAAGCAGAGGCCATGGAGGAGCTCTGCTTACTGGCTTGCTCCTACCTATTTGCTCAACCTGCTTTCTTATGCAACCTGGGACAACCTGTCCAGGGATGGCATCACCTTGCCATGGGCTGGGACCATCCACAACAATCATTGGTCAAAAAACAAGCAATCTGGATGGAAGCATTTTTTCAACTAAAGATCTTCCCAAGTAATTTTAGCTTATGTCAAGCTGCCAAAAATAAGTAACAATAACAAAATGCAAACAGAACAAGTACTGTCCCTTTCAAAATAGCTACCTTGAAAGGCATCTGTTTCTGAAAGACTAATTTACAATTAAAGGAATCAATGAAAATATTTACAAAACTCCAACATGGCTTTAAGTAATGCAACATCACTGTTTGTATATGTTCTTAAAAAAAAAAGCAGGAAAGCAGGTTGGACGTGGTGGGATACACCTGTAGTCATAGATATATGAAAGGCTGAGATGGTAGGGTGCCTTGAGTCCAGGAGTCATACACAATCTGAGCAGTATAGAGACTGCTCCCCTTTAAAGACAAAACAACAACAAAAAAAACCAGGCATGAATCAAACAAAAAGGCCCAAACATATTCTTTAGATTGTGTGCTATCATTTTCAATATCCAAATACATACAGCATGTTTCCAACTTAAGATCAATTCATGTTTGAATCACTCTTCTAACTCAGCACGCCTTTCTTTTTATTGTGGTTCTCATGCCAAGCTTTTCAGTGTTTGAAGAATTTGAATTTATTAGGAGACAAGTTAAAAAAAAAACTTCCACAGAAGGAAAGAAATTGGGAGATGTTATCACTGTACTACACTCAGTACCTGAGCGTGCTAGACAGCACTGGAGAAAGGGAAACAGAAGAATGATACAAGGTATTAGTTCTTCCTACAGAAGACAGAGACCAAAGATAAAGAATGTTCTACAGAACCCACAGCACAGCAGGGGCTGTCTTGTCACATTTGTTCAGTGAGTGAGTAAACTAAATAGAAATGTTTCCTGAAAGAAAGTACAAGGTCTGAACATCCACTGTCTATAGTGATGGGTAAGAAAGAATTTAGCAGGGCAGTGGTGTTGCACACCTTTGATCCCACCATTTGGGAGGCAGAAGCAGGTGGGTCTCCATGAGTTCAAGGCCAGCCTCGTCTACAGATCCAGTTCCAGGACAGCCAAGGCTACACAGAGAGACTGGAAAAAAAAAGAAAAAAGAAAAAAAAGAAACAAACGGAGTTTAAAGGTATTTAAGTACTGAGGTTCTGTACTACACTAGAGACTTAAGAATTAAAGCACTGTAAATTTGTACTGGTATTGTACAAGGTACCAAACAGTGACTGTTACTGCAATAGAAAGTAGAATACGAAATTTTCCAGAATTGCAGATTATCTGTGCAGAAGAGAGTTTTGCTATAAATCTTAAGAATGTATGTGTTACACTGTCCTTTAGACAATGAGTTATTTGGGGAAATCAAAAGTTTATTGTATAATCCACAAAAAAGACGGTACTCTGATATAATCATATGGGAAATCTCTCCGGCCTGGACAATATTCCAGAAGCCTGGAAATGTATGGGGGGGGGGGTTAATCTAAAAGGGAAGTAATAGTATGTGGGAAAAGATGCTACAGAGGGTGTGGATGAGAAGTTATTAAGTCATTGGCAACTGGAAAGAAAAAACGTGGACGAGAAGGAGCAAAGTGCTGTTCTGTTTTGCAATCGCTTGATCCGATGGCAAGAGGGAGTCAGATGAAATTACAGCGATCCCAACAGTGACTAAGTAGTCCGGCAATGGCGATTCTCGTGGAAGTGGTGTGTTAGGATCCGAGGTGCTACCCCTGGCTTCTGCGACCGGCCTTGTTTGGACTTCAGGAAGTGAGGGGGGAAATTACTCCCCCAGAAGAAGCTTCAGCCTATATCTGACAGTGCTGACGGCAGAATTCTGCCAACACAGAGTGACACCCGACACCCGGACACGGATGGCGGGCGCCCCCGCGTTCCTCACCTGGGAGCACCTGACTCCTCAGGAGGAGCCGGAGTCAGCCTCCCTCTGACGCTGACACGGCCCCGGCCTAGTGGCCGCAGGCAGCCAGGCCACCGGGTGTCCCGGCGGCTGCGTGGTCACGAGGTCCCGCCCCCTTCCCGCGGCCCCCAGGGCCGTTGGGTCCGGTCGAGAGGCCCTTACCCATGTGCTGCGTGTCCAGCTGTACGGCCGGCATCTCCTTGAGAGGAATGTGGCCGGTCCCGCCGTCCCTGCAGCAACGCAGGCAACACCACGCCGACGCGGACATGGCGCAGCTCCACAGCCCCGCCACTCCGCCCGCGCCCGAGGGTTTTGGGGTCGCGGCAGCTCCGCAACCCGCACAGAAATGCCTGGGGCGGGGAGGCGAAGCCGAGGCTGAGGCAAAACCCCCGGCGAAGAAGCGAGGACCGCCCGATGGGGCGGGGCGGGGCGGTGGCGGGAGGTGGGCGGGGCCAGCTGCTGACTGATTAACAGGGGGCGTGGCGGGCGGGCAGGGCGGCGGCGGGGGGCTGAGCGGCAGTGGCCTGACTTACTGGGAGAGGGCGGGGCCCGTGGCCTGACGGATGGGAGAGGGCGGGGGCTGCTGTATTTCCGGAGGTAGGCGGGGCCAGTGGCCTGACGGACTTAGGGCGGGAGGGGCGGCGTGCGCCTGCGTACTGAGGCGTTCCCCTCTGCGGCCTCGCGGCCGTCCCTAGCACTAACAGGTGAGCAGATGGGAGTCGCTCGGGCTCTCCGGCTTCTCCGGACTCTCAGAGGTTGTGATTCTGTTGGTTTGTTTTTTAGAAGGGGCCTTGCTGTGCTGTCCAGGGTCTGGAACTCGCGGCCACCATGGTAGCTCCATACATAGTAGCTCCGTGCGGACTTGGTGTTCAGTACTGGTAGCTGGGCGCAAGGTGTGTGCCCAGGGTGTGTGTGTGTGTGTACTTGTAGCTGCAGCTGCCGGGTGTGTGTGTGTGTGTGCGCGCGTGCGTGTGTGTGTGTGTGTGTGTGTGTGTGTGTGTGTGTGTGTGTGTTGCGGCTCCACAGTGATTTCTTTTTTAGGATGGATTGACAGTTGCAGATCTGCTTTGGGGAAGGAGGTAATAAAACGCCCGGGTTTTTTCGTGTGTGTGTGTGTGTGTGTGTGTGTAAAACTCGGCGAGCGCTCGGCTCTCTCACCTGCCACGCTGACTCGGACCCACGGCCCTGTGGACTGCACTGTGGATGTGCGGCTGGGATCTCCGTTGGTGTCGCAACACTTTCCCTGCAAAGGCGCTCATCGCTGGGCTTGTTGCTGTGCGGACCTAGGATTCGCAGGCGGCCACCCACAGAGGGCGGGGGACAGGGCCGGAGGACACCTTTTTAGAAAGTCGCCAGATAGATGTGCATGAGTTCAGGCGCTCTCTTGCCACGGCGAGGTCAGAGGACAACTTTCGGAAATAGGTTTTCTTTTCCCGCCTTGGGGATCCGGGGATGGAATTGAGGCTTTCGGGCGGGCTTGCTTGAGCCGGAGAGCCATCTTGCCGCCCCTGATAGGCCACTGCCATGCTCAGGTCTCTTGGGCACCGAGGATTACTAGAGGTGTGAAAGGAATACCAGGACGCTGTGAAGAAAACCCGGAGTTCTTCCTAGGGTTTGCTGCTTCCTGGTGCCACATAGAAGGCCCCAGTGGTGGTCACCTCATCCCCCTTATCACTTAGATTACCCTTCAGACACCGTCAGGTGACCAAAAGAATCAGGCTCAAACTCCTGTGCCAGATGATGCTTCTACCCTGAAAGTTTTCCCAGGCTCTCTCAAATCCCCGGGGAAACTGAACATAAATTCTCAGTTTTATTTATTTTTGAGACCGGGTTTCTCTGTGTAACCGTTCTGGCTGTCCCTGGATCTCACTCTGTAGGCCATGCTGGCCTCAAACTCATAGAAATCTGCCTGCCTCTGAACTGGAATTAAAGTCCTGCACCACCACGCCCTGGCAAATTCCCAAGTCTTGTTTTGTTTCTCGAGACAGGGTATCTCTGTATTGTTTTGGAGGCTGTACTGGAACTCACTCTGTAGACCAGGCTGGCCTCGAACTCACAGAGATCTGCCTGCCTCTGCCTCCTGAGTGCTGGGATCAAAGGCGTGCACCACCACCCCAATTCTTAAGAAATGGTTTTCCCATACATAACTGTTTAGTCATCTGAGTATAAATATCCTTTATGGAGATATTTATTCATAGAATGAGGGAAATTTTCAGGCTTTGGTCTGTTTTCTATTTATAAAAATACTTTCATTGTAATACTAAGAAAACTGTCCAAGGCTTGTACTTTGAGATTTAGTTACCACAGAATTAATATCCAGAGTAATTGCTAAAATTATTGAGGGCTACCCTGCCTTTCACTGCCTATATATCTTTCAAGTACTCTCTTGGTGATCAACACACACACACACACACACACACACACACACACACAGAATCCTTGCAAGATTTCAAGGCAGATACTGCTCCCCACTTTATAGGTGAAGAAATAGACTTAGATTAAATGACTGTGCAATTTCACAGTGGTATAAAATATACACAGTAGGGTTAAAAGCCTGTATTTACTTCTCCAGATGTTGTTGCTTCTGGAATTATGAAGTTGGAACTTACAATTCAAACTACAACCCTCTGGAAATGTTCATTTTAAAAGGCAGGTCTGCACTTCATCTTCTGTGTGTTTTATTAGTCTCCACTTTAGCTAATCTGCCAGAATAAAATTGTTTTATAAACTGAACTTGTTTGCTTAGAAGTGTTATTAAAAGTTGTACATTTACAGAGAAACCCTGTCTAGAAAAAAAAGCAAAAAAAGTAGTATGTGTATTAGATAGGTAATAATCTGTCACATCTTCTATTAAAAACTGTTAACTAGCTGTGAATAGTCCACTAATGTTGAGAGGCAGAAATCCCATAGTCTTTCCTGGCTGGAAAAAAATTTGTTAGGGCGTTGCCCAACATACTATACCCTTAACTATCGAAACTCAGGTGTACTCAGCAGGATGAAGCAAGCAAAACTGCCTGGAGCAGACTTTCCAGTCTTGGCAGATTGAATGGCGATGAGCTCATAGACTTTCTTATATCTGACTTCTATTCTTTTTATTACTTTCAAAGGTATTACTAGTTCTTTTTGAAAATCAGGTGTTTTGACAGTCTTCACCATCACTTTCAATAACAATTACAAATAAAATCTACAAAAATGTTTCCAGCAGTTAGAAAGTTGTTCATCTAAGTCAAAAGCAGTAACAAAGAATGATAACCAGGCAAAAAAATTCTATCTGTCTCTGTCTGTCTGATGTGTGCCCCTAACAGGTGAACTGATAGGATAATAGTGTACAGCATGTGGCTGAAAGTCTAATTTAAACATACGCAGGGTTTTCTCTGATGGGTTTTGTGGAAGGTAAACAGATATCTATTGAGTTCCACACTCTGTACTGGGCCATACAAAATGTTTTCATCATTTATCAGTTTTTAACTTTGTGGGCTAATCCAAACTATGTTTTAGATTCTTAAACATTACAAATAGTAACAAACAAACCCCTACTTCTGTAAACTAGCATGTTTCTGGTGTCTGTGACCCGTTTCACACTTATGTTTTGGAGTAAGGTTAGCTGACCTTTATCTAGTGCTTCGATTGTTAGGCACTGATGAAGTGCTCTCTGTAAACTAACCCTTATAACAGCCCCTTAAGGGGGAGCTATTCTTTATTACACAGATGAGGAGTCTGGGAAGCACACCCAAAGCCCGTTCCCTGAGCTTAGCACTGCATTCAGACCATGCAGCGTGGCTTTCCTGCCTTTATTCCTAGTCACCTTTCAGACTGTCTCCCCTACGGTACACATTCTATCACTGGGCGGTGGTGGTGCATTGTCTTTAATCCCAGCAGTTGGGAGGCAGAGGCAGATGAATCTCTGAGTTCAAAGCCAGCCTGGTGTACAAAGTGAGTTTCAGGACAGTCAGGACTACACAGAGAAACTCTGTCTCAAAAGAGAAAAAAATGCATTCTATCATTGTTTGAATATGAAATGTACCCCCACAGTCTTACACTCCTGCCCCCAAGTTGGGTACTCCATTTTGGGAGTGTGTAGAGTCTTTGAGACTTCACCTAGCCAACAGGTGGGCTGCTGTGGGAGGCACTTGAAGGTTCCAGCTAGAGCTGTTCTTTTCCTCCTGTCCTCGGACTCCTGCCACCACAGATGGAGCTGCCCAGGCCTGTACCTTCTGTGTCCTCCTGAACCATTAGCAAACTAAATCCTTTCACTCTGAGTTGTGCCTGTCAGAGATCTTGTCACAGCAACATAGGAGGTGGCTAGTATGACATTTTTTTATCTCTTCAAGTCTTTACCCCAAATATTGACATTTAAATTTATCTGGTTAATTATTCTCATTTAATTCAAATATATAGTGATACACACACACACATATATATATATCAAAAATATAAATTTGACTTTTGGTTGTGAGCCTAGCCTTTAATAACTGTGCCAGCTCTCCAGTCCTAAAATATAAATTTTAAAATGAAAATTTTTGCTGCAGTGAATTACTATCATTAATTGGCTTGAAAGTGCCAATTAACAGCACCATTGAACACTACTCATTCTTCACAGGATGTCTTTAAAGGTTACTTAGATTTTTAAATGCTAAACCACTAAGAAAGGTTGGTGGCTTGGAAAATCCAAAGATTAATCACTAGGAATAAAAGAGAAGATTGGGTAAAAACAAAGGAATTTGAAAAGGGCACAGAAAAATTAGAGGGTATCATAAAATGTTTTTAGTATAAAAAATAAGAAAGCAATTCATGGGGGATGTCCTTCTGTATATATGTTTCTCTTATTGGTTAATGAATAAAACACTGATTAGCCAATAGAGGAAGGAAGATAGGCGGGGCTAGGAGATGAGGAGAATGCTGGGGAGAGAGGAGAGAGAGGCTGAGAAGAGACACCATGCTGCCCAAGGAGTAGTATGCCAGATTATGGGTAAACCACAGCCTCGTGGCAATACATAGATTAATAGAAATGAGTTAATAATTAAGACAGAGCTAGCCAATAAGAAGCAAACTCTAGCTAACAGTTTTATAATTAATATAGTGTCCGTGTGTTTATTTGGGACCAGGCCAAACAGAAACCTCCATCTTCAAGCAATAGCAAAGACTCTTTAAGGAAGGCCCTATGAAGTTTTTTATAATTTCATTTACTCAAGACTTTAAACTATCTTCCCTCCAGTGGAAGGTAAAGCAGGTTGTTACAAACCAAAGAGAACTGTGACATCCCTGCCCAGCCACCAGTGCCTTTATTCTAAATCGGCTGCCTCTTAATGTCTTTCTTACCATTTTTTGCTGAGCACTGTTTCTAGAATAAGACTCATGAACAGACTATTGAGGAGACAGAAGGGAAGTGTGGTGGGTAGTCTTGGTTGTCAACTTAACTACATCTAGAATGATCTACAGTCTAGAAATTGGGGAATACCTGTAAGAGATTTTTTGCTAGGTTAGAAGTGGATGAGTCCACTTCTAGTCCAGACCTTTGAGGTGGAAAATACAGGCCTTTCACCCAGATCTTGAAGCCC